AGATCGCCGGATGCAATCATGGAAACAATTTGTCCTGCGGCCACTGTTAGGAGGTGCAATCAATAGAAATGTATGAGAAAATGAATGTGCTGCATTTGTACCAAGGTACGGCAATCAAAGACTGAGTCTAGAAATGGCCCAACTTACCAAATCCAGAAGTTCCAGTCACAAAGACACCAGTACCCAAAGCTCCATCACATCGTCGTAAGGAAGATGAACCCTCTCCTTTGGGAAGCGTCTTTTGTGGTTCTGTCGAAATGACAGCTTGGATATTCCATTTCTTGGGTGGTTTCACGAGCTTCTTTTTCAGTAAATTGGCTGGTACTCCAGCTTCAAACCCATGGAACTTGCGCAAATTTTTTCGACAATTGCTGAGCAGTGGATCATTATTCACCCTAGTCAAGTCTTCGCAGACAAAGGCACAAGGATCGGTTCTCCCTGCCGATCCTCCACAGGTCACAATGGGTATTTGATATCTGCAACATGCCGCAATCATTGCACATTTCCCCTTTGCTCCATCCATCGCATCCAGACATGCCGTCAGATTGGGTATGGAAGTCAATATCTCATCCACGTTGTCGGGCGACACAAAATCATGAATCAATGTAATGTTGCAGTTGGGATTGATGTCTCGAAAGCGCCTTGCCATTTCGTCAATTTTAAAATTGCCAATGGTACTGGCCATGGCGTGCATTTGGCGGTTGGTATTGCTAATGCAAATATCGTCCAGATCAATCAATACCAAATTGCCAATCCCTGACCGACAAAGCGCTTCGGCCGCCCAACTCCCAACTCCTCCCAGACCCACAACGACCACCGTAGCTTGCGTCAATCGATCGACAACTTGCAAATGAGGAGCAATTGAAGTGTCGATATCATCTTGATTATTGGGTTCTGCATAGAGTCGGCCTACTCCAGCAAATCTTAAGTTTCGTTGTTCTCGGGCTTCATCTTCGTCTTCTATTGGTGATGATACTTGTTCGTCGCTGGCATCATCACCACTTTGTCTCAACAATAATAAGCTTTCGTGTCGAAAAGTAGATGATCGACTCCAGCCTGTCTCCACAAACGAAAAAGCCAATATTATGGAATGTTGCAGAAAAAACAGGGACAAGAGCAGCGGTAACCTGGGAATCATTTTGGTTGGCGTTTTTTGATGTTGTTCCTGATGTCGAAGAGAAGAGTCAACGACACATCATCAAAATGAGTGGCAAAAAATATGAGTTCGACAAACACCGGGTTCCTCGGACAAAATAGTGTCCGTTATAGGCAAGAATCAGAATTTCGCTTCCTTGATGCAACATCAATCAACACGTTGCTACAAGGAAGGAAATGGTATCAATACTTGCCCCTGTCTCGATTGCAACAACATAATCTGCTATCCTTCTTCTTCATCGCTACGCGATACTCGGTGTTCACACGCATTGAACCCATCATTCTGCAGCTGGAAATATTTTACTCAACACTCGACATCAAAATGATGAAGAATCTGTCATTCCTTTTACTCGTGTTTCTTTCACGAGCTAAGGCCAACTTTGAAATGGGCGTCACTGGAGCATTGGACCAGGACGACAATACTCAATACCATATGGAGGTTACCGGAGGATTTGACTTCGAGGGCCTAACAAGTTCTTGTGGTTCCATGACGGACTGCGGAGCGTGCACCAATACGTATTCCTGTCACTGGTGCAGTCATGACAATGCGTGTCATGCCAAGGGCAGCTGGAGGGGTTGCTCATGGGGTGCCACCTGTTCTGCCCCAGAACCACAAGGCTGCACTGCCCATACTACGTGTTCTGATTGTGCACTGGCGTCTCATACTTGCCATTGGTGCGCCTTTGACAATGCCTGTCATGCCGTTGGTAGTCCGCATGGATGTGCTGCCGGAGTGGACTGTTATTCGAATGAAATATGTCGGCGCAAAGAACCACAGAAATTTCAGAGGATTGTCACCGAAATGCCAATGGGATTTATTGCTTTTGTAGTACTTGTCAGTTTCGTCTTGATTGTTTCCCTGTCGCTGTGCCTTGGCTTGCTGGGCACTATGTGCGGCGGCTACCAGGATGTGGATAGTACGAATGAACCAGCATCCACGCCATCATCAATCACTGGAATTAACATGAATCAAATGGCAGCGACAGATCCAGCTTATACAGCGGTAGCAACTGAAGCACCAGAAGGATCATCATCTCAAATGGAACAAGGCGAAAATATCAATGGTCCAGCACAACAGACTGGTGATGACGACGGAATACCCAACCAAGATCAATCCACAATAGTTGAAGGAACAGACGATCCAATGCATCCACTCGATGTTGCTGGAAGTTCTAGCAACTATGTTCAGATGGCTGAAAATGCAGAGGAGGAGGAACCAAATGAAACGGCCCGCCTACTGGAGGATCCTCCTGGCATTATTGCCACTCCTCCTCCGACAGGCCCACGGCGGATGCGCAAAGTTCCTCGGACATGCCGAATGATACAGATTGTATCCGTTTTGTTGGTCCTCTTGCTGGCGTCCATGTCCGTCTATTTCTTTCCGGTCATGCCAACCTTTTCAGTCTGCAACGACTCGATCGGTTGGCGTAGGATCATTGAACACATTATTGCCATGAGGATTGACGCCAGTTTTGAAGTTTTGATTTCCCTCTCCAACAAAAATCGGATTGCCGTGGCCTTGGATCGAGGCAATGGGACCTTTCAGTTTGATGGTCGACCACTTGGAACCTTTGTCATTCCACCCGTGACTGTGGAAAGTATGGCCATTTCGGATCTCATGATTCTTGCCAAGGCGTCTCCAGATCGGCATCAAGCCTTGAAAATTGTCCAAGCCTTTCGAAATGGGCACTTGATATTGGATGCCGATTTTGATGCTACCATCCGACTGCCGTGGTTCTTCAATTACACTAGAAACATTACCGTCAATCACTATTTGGTGGATGTGACGGCACCCAAAGATCGAACACTGTGTCAATGTCAAGATGACACCAAGAATTCTACTACTCCTGAATTTCTTTTGGATTTGATACCAGAGTTTGATGAACTAATGTCGGATTTGGATCATGAAAATGATTCTTCGTTCGTACACAACGGGGAAGTTGCACCATATGGAAGCCAAGCGCTAAATTAAAAACTATGTTTTACTATTACGGATGGGATTCATTCTTCTTGTGGCGAAATGTCAAGCTGAAACGGTGGCCTCTAGGTATCACTGTTTCCGTCGGTGCATTGAGACATTTGTTGGTAGTAATGTCCGTTAGAACATCCATCGGTATACTGTGGCAGTATTCCAGATATCTGAAGCCAGAACATAGAGGAAAGCAAGTGTGAGATTGCTGTCATAGCAACAGGCAAAAGCAAAAGTTAGTACCCAAAAATCCTTACGCTTCATCCTCAAATACAATCATGGATCCAGGTTCCAAGAGCACTTGGATTGGCCCATTTTCACCAGAAGCCGAACCACCAATTTCATTGGCTGACAATCGTTTGGTGAATTCCAAGACCACGCTACTCATTAGGGATATTGTCGCTGTCCGACTAGCATAGGTGGGACCATCGGTATGGGGCAAAATCCCCTGTCCTGGCAGGTATTCATTCAACAAGACGTGATTGGGTGGCTCGTCCACGGAAAAAATTCCTTGGTCCACCAATAGGTTGGCAATTTCCAATAAGGGTCCCACCAGTGGGGTGTCCTTGGTTTCTCCAAACATGGACACCTTTCGTTTTCCATACTTCATGGTCTTCCACTCGGCAAAACCGGAATCTCCTAGTGGCAGATTCTTGAGCCACTCTTCCAGAGTCTGAAGATTGTTGATCGATTGGGACGAGTAATATACTGTCTTTGGATCATGGAGGATGGTTTGTAGATTCAGGGTTTCCATGGTCAAGGGACCCTCTGAAGGCGACCACTGGGGAAACCTACTTTTCATATTCTTGCTCGATGATGATTCCACAATATTTCCATCACTAACGTGAGTGTTCTGTCCGGCTTTTTGTTTCTCCTTTCGCATCAGACTAGCAAAATCTATGCTTGCTGCCTTTGGATCCTGGAGGATGGTTTCTAGGTTCACGGCTCCCATGGCCAAGGTACTACTTTCTGAAGGGGACCACTGGGGAAGATTTTTCGCATCCTTGCTCGATGATGATGATGATGATGATTTCATAGTGTCTCCATCATCAACGTGAATGGTCTGGGTGTTTGTTGGTACTCGTTTCTTCTTGGCTTTTTGTTTCTCCTTTCGCATCAAACTAGCAAAATCTATGGGTGTTGCCATGATGGAGAAACCAGGTACTGTGTATATATGTGGGTGATGTGGGAAAGCTAGTAGTCGCTTGGGCTTGCCCGGTGGATTTTTCTTCGGCTGATGATGTTGTAATAAAATGTTGGTGAAAAAATCATACAAGGTGGGTTTGACTCATTCGACCCTAGTATGTGAATTTGACTTTTCGGACTTGATTGTATTAGCGTACCAAGAAAAGGTCGGCATGTATTATATATAAAACAACAACCTTAGATAAGTCCAGAAACGTGCTGTCTAAGGTGTACTCTTCAACGAATGTATCAATGCAACCAACAATGCAGGTAAACAAAGCCGTCATTGGGTCCCGAGTGTCGGGGACAGACAGGATGGATTTTCGTAGGTGCCTTGTCCCTTGTCAAAATACTACAGTAGATCTTGTATTCAAAGAGTTGATTGAAGTCATGGTGAAGATGTAACTGTGTTTTCTGTGTCTATGGATGGTGAATGTATTTACTCTTGTGCATTCGATGTGTTTGCCCTATCATAACCTTAGCACTCCAATTTTGCTAATCCATTCCACCGCCCAACTTATCACCAAAGGATTGCTTGCGCTTCGCCTTTCCGGCATCCACCTTGTCGACATTATCAATCTCATCGGGTGAATAGTCGTACATTTTCTCTCTCAACATGGCATTCTCTTTTGATCTCGACAATCCCTTCTTGATGTTTTCCAGATTCGTGCTAAATTCCTCGGTACCCAAGAAAGATCCCTCTCGATCTTCATCCCAGGAAGTGCTCATGATAGAATAAGTAATACCTACGAGTCCAACGCCCAAACAGACAATCGTACTAGCCGCCACAAGAGCTGGTTGAAATTCCATATCCCGATAGGTCGCCATGTACCAAAAGCCCACAAAGGCTGCCATGCTTCCAAACAAGGGAATTCCGACAAAGGGAAGCATTCGACTTCCCATACGTTGGGCCACCTTTTCGGGAATGGCAGTAGCCTGTTCTTTAGATTGCAAGGACGCTTCCACATCTTTGAGTTCTTTGATCTTGCGGAGTTCAGCATTGCGTTCTTCTGCCTTTTGGCGGCGCATTCTCTCCAAAGCCTTGGCACCCGAGTTCATTTCTGGTTCTGCCTCTGCCCCTGCAGCAGCAAAGGGATTGTCATTGGGAGAGGAAGGTTTACTCAATTCTTTTGCAGCACTGCTTGGCTGTTCGTCAGCAGCAGGCTTGGACTTTGGTTTGGAAGTCTCCTTGGCGGCTCCAAAACCCTTGGACTTGGCGTGTAAGGAAGTAAGTACACTATGTGATGATTGAGGAGCAACAAGACCTTCGATGGCTGCGGATGTCAGCAACAAAGAAGCTGCGATGACGGAAATATTCTTCATGATGTCTCGTATTGGTGTATTGGACTGTGGATGGTTTTTTATGTGTGGGTAGCTTTGCCTTGATTTCCGCTGAAACTACTGAGTCTTGAGATTTCTGAAAGATTGGTTGTGTGGTAGGGGGATTGGATTTCCTGTTCTTCCTTTTGCTTTTGTCTCTATTGGAGTTTGTTGTCTGTCAACCTTGAATAATCATCCTTGTCGAAGTCGTGATGACGCCACCTGGAATCAAAAGTGAAAGGCACTAAGAAAGCTCCGTTATCGTCTGTCAGTCGAACTTCCAACCTCACTTCTCTCTACCGATGTCAGAGCATCCGGGTCTTGGATCGATGATTCAAGTTGACATTATTGAACATACCTACATTGATTGCACCGAACTCCAATTTTCTCATTCATCTCAAATGCATTCTTCTCCACTACTGGTACGATGAGAACAATACCAACCCTATTCTCTCGCAGCATAATAACGAGATTATCAATTATACTATGCAGTCTCGTTCTATGCAACAACAATGATATTTTGGTGAATGGCTTTGAATCCAAATCGATGCAAGCATCAAAAAATTCTTTGACATCGCCTTCTTCCACTCGACAGTCGCCACTATTTGCTACAGTTGCCAAAGAAGGACCAGAAGATAGACGAAAACAAGCGCGGTTACAAAATGATCCTCTCTTATCTCTCAATCTAAATTTGGACGCCATGGCACAAAATGCTGCTGCACCGGTTGCCGAACAAATGCTCCAACGAATTAGTGCACTCCACGAAGAGGGTTATTACGAAGTCTCTCCGGACATTGTGTCTTACAACTCGGTCCTCAAGGCCTGGAAGGAAGGCAATAATCCCGAAAAGGCCCTGGATTACCTGCAACAAATGCTCGTACAGGGACAAGCCAAGGTCGATGTCATTTCTTTCAATACCGTAATCTTGACCTTTGCCAAACAAGGCAATCATGGCGTGGCTCGGAGCATGATTCAACAAATGAAAGACCGAGATGATTTGCCTGATCCCGATATATTGACGTACAATGCCTTGTTATATGCTCTGGCGCAATCCAAAGACTCGGGAACCACCGAAGAAGCCGAAGAATTGCTCTACGACCTGGTCGATGGAAAACACGATCCAATCCAAGCCGACATTGCCAGTTTCAATACCGTCATCCATGCTTGGTCACAGGTCGCCAGTAAATACAATCCATCGGCCGCCGACAGTGCCCAACTCTTGTTGAACCGCATGGAACAATTGACAGAAGACAGACCCAGTCTCAAACCAGATGTTTACACCTACACAACCGTCATTCAAGCCTGGGCTCGCTGCGAACAATCCATCAAGGCAGAAAAGTTGCTCAATACCATGTGCTTCAAAGGTTTGATTCCAAACCGATATACTTACACTGCCGTCATGTCCGCGTTGGCTAAAACAGGCATGCCCGAAAAGGCGCAAGGCGTGTTGGATACAATGATGCAGCTCTACCAAAAGGGCAATGAAGCGCTCAAGCCCGATACTGTGAGCTTTAGTTGTGTCATGGACGGCTGGGCCCGTATTAGTCATGTGGATAAGCCGTACGCAGCAGATCGGGCATTGGACTTGCTAGAGAAAATGAAATTGCTCGAAAGTGAAGGCATGGGACCCAATTCGAGGACCTATACCTCCGTCTTGTCAGCGGTTGCCAAATCGGGGACATGGGAGGCCTGTGAAACAGCGCGCTCCATACTCCAAGATATGGAGTACGAGGCCAATGACAATGGTCTCAAGAAACTTCAGCCATCCACCATTCATTACAATGCGGTATTGCACGCCTACGCAAGAAGTCCAAGAGCCGACAAGGCATTGAAAGCTGCTTCCTTTCTAAAGTACATGGCGCTTCCTCAAAATAAACACTGCCGACCAGATTCTATTTCGTACAATTCGGTGCTCATGGCGTGTGCCAATGCTTTTGGCAATGAGGAGTTGAAAGGACGGTCGTACACGATTGCCAGGGAAATGTTTCGAAAAACGGTTCACGGAGAAGATCATGTGCGACCGTCTTCTACCACCTTTGTGCACTTTTGTAAGGCCTCCCGCCGATTGATATTGGACAAACAGACTCGACTGGCTGCGTTGAAAAAGGCAATGCGGCTTTGCTGCAATTTTGGAATGCTTAACAAGATAGTAGTCCTGCAAGCGCAACTTGCTTGCAAGAACGAAGCAGAATGGAATGAGATTTCGGGTCAGGTGAGCGATTATGTGGGGTGGAAAGGCAAATTCAAACCTAGAGACGTTCCACAAAAGTGGACGAGCCAGGCTGGGCGATAGTGAGATTCATGCAACATGCATTGAACATGCACAGAAACTGCAAAGTGCTTTGTGAGTTTGCAATCAGTCCTAGTGCAATCAATCTGGTTGGCCGTTGGGAAGGCTAGCCGTACCACGAGCTGCTATTCATTTTACAAATAACGAAGGAAGCTTATTGTCTTAGCTACAGTATGAATTACTCATTTTTCCCATTTGCCCCCCTCTTCCTTGCCACTGAAAACGTCACATTTGTTATATAACACCACAGAAAATCATGATAGCCTTTCGTCTTAGATCCCGGAACCGTACTCTTCAATTTGACTCTCATCCAATTCAATCTTGCTTTCAGCCTTCATTTCTTTCTTTGCTGGCAAAGTCCATCCACCCCAAGACGATTTGACCCAAGACGCATATTCTGGCTTATCTCCATACTTTTCTTGTTGTCTCTTTTCCAATCCTGTAGTAGCTTGCATAAGCACAAAGGTAATGCCAACCAATCCGAGGGATTGTATAATAAAGTTTCCAATCAGCTTCAACAAAGCAGCGCGACTAGTAGCTGCCTTGGCCAACAAGGTAAAACCCACCAGACCACAAACACTATTGGCAGTCCAACCAATCATTTCTCCAGTATAATTGGGGTGTCGGAGAAGCGAGAAAATACCCGAAGTTACCAATGTATCGTCCCCCTTGGTCTTCTTTACAAAGGTCTTGGTAAAGTCACCAATTGCCGCAATGCCAAAACCAAACCATTCCAATCCCACGAGTGTCTTCATGAAGGGAAGAACCCACGAGGGCTTCATCATCTCGCTTGTCAATTGCGAAGTAAAAAACAAAGGAGCTGCCAAACCATAGTACAAAAAGCCACACGAAATGATAAAGGGAGCACGGGACAATCTGTTGCCTCTGGCCTTGGCTCGTTCTTCAATCTTGTCAATAAAGGCTCTTAGTCGAGCACTCAACAAGGTCCGAATGGCCAAAAAGGCATTCAAACGAAACCCATAAAATATCAAGGCCATGGCGTGCATTGGCAGCACCGTGTTGGTGGCCGGGGAAAAGCGGCGAAGGATGGACACGCCGGAAAGTGCTGTAGCCAGGCCATAGGCATAGGAAACTCCAAATTCACTACGGTAGAATCCAAGAATGGGAGGAAGAAAACTAGTTAAGACTTCGGGTGGAATAGTAACAGCTGAAAGACTTGTTCCTGTTTTTGTTGTGGTTGATCGCTGATGCGTGGACGTGGTTGTCAACAATGTCAGTGACTTCTTGTTGGGTTCTTGCTTGACGACATTGCTGTTTACAACGTAATTAGATCGAGTCGAAAACGTCGTTGAAAATCCTTGGCAACTGCCAATGAGGATCGCTAGTCCCAGTAAGATCTTTGTTCGGAGCATGGCGGTGATGGTAATACTAGCTGATGTGGTGATTGTTTTGTTTGCGAAGTCCAACATCATGCACTCACGCAAAATGCCGGTTTTGAATTTTCAAATCATTCGGACACCCCTTTTTGAGTTTCCTTCAATGTGATGCACCCCCAAACTAAAAGGTCGTCGTAGTCGTATCGTAACCCAGCACAGCTACTGTAGTTGATAGATTTTCAATTTGATGATGTGACAATGACAATAGCATAATATTGATTAGAAAAAGCTTTCAACATTGAAAGCGGCAGTACCATTGAATCCAAGGATTTTCTTTTGAGAAATAAGGTAATATCGTCATGACAGAAGGGAACTCTACCGATAAAAAGGATGATGACGAGCGCCTGAAGAAACTAATGAAGGCTGCCACGGGGTGTGACAACGTGGACGAAGTTCGCAAGAAGACTCTCGTTGCTCGAGATTCCATGTCAGTAGATTCCGCCAAGGAATTCTTGACAGGTATGGAGGATGATGATGAAAACGTTGGGGTGAATCGGAATGCTGGTGGCAAGCCAAAAGTCATTGCTCCCAGTCCGAAGGATGACGAGGTATTGAAAACTCTCTCTCTTTCGGGACCTGCACCAAAGCCCCCAACTCCTCGCACTGTGGTACACCCACCATCAGCTCAAGCTATGCCCTCTTCTGATGACAACTTAGAAACTTTGGACCAAAGATCAACTCTGATCGACTCTAGTACACCACAACAGCATATTCCTTCCTCAGAACAGAAAGAGCAAAATTTGACAAGAAAGACATCCTCCACTATAATAATGCCTACAGATTCCAGAGACAGCGATTTGGACTACACATGGATATCAAGAATATACGCTCTTGGTAGCTTATTGTCCCTTGTCTTTTATCTCCTGGAAAAATATGGATCTCGGCCTCAAAAATCCTTTGTTGCCAACTTGAATGATGTCTACATTGTATTCTTGCCCTACATTCCGTGCCTTGTATGGACCTTGCTGAGATTGAATCAACGACGAAAAGAATCGGTGCCAACAACTGATACAGCAAAGAAAGAACAATAATTGCCAGTTTCCAGATCACGTGATAGCTTCATCAGAGGCATCGATTATGGCTTCGGCAAATGGATTTGATGGGACTGGAAGGTGTACAGGTGCTGCCTTCTGGACATTTTCGAACGCAATCATCTATGCACCACTTGAAATACTTACAATCCTACGGCCTAGAAATTATTAGCAACGCTCCGAACTTTGATGGCAATTTGACGCTCTTAAGAAGCATTCCAGACCCGTGAGCCGACTATCAACAGGGACACCTTTGGGTGCACGTATGACGATGATTCGTTCTACCCACCCCATGCGGATCCTAGTGTAAAACACAACGGGGTGTATGGGAAAGCTCTTGTAAATTTGGTGTCTCGCTTGTCACACGAGCCACGTGAGAGACGCACAAGTGGTACCTGGTGATACGCCAAGTTTGAAGTCTTTTTTTTCACGATAACGACCCTGCAGACCCTCCTCGAGGATGCACGTCTGGAGATTTTTCGGCAGCTTTTATACTGTGACCCGCAATTTCTCCCACATCATCAACAATATCCAACACAACAAACATAACCAATTGCGTCATGCCAAGAAGCAACAAAGAGGCACTGGCCGATTATCTGGTCCAAGACACACCGAAAACAAAGAAGGCATTCTCAGGGAGTCATTCGGTGGGAGGTGACAAGAATATCGATGGTGAACTCATCATTAAACAAGATGGAAGCAAACTACGTCGCGGAGTGAAGAAGACCACGTCGTCTGGTGGTGATTCTTCCGAGATAATCACCCTTGACGACGGAAGAAAGGTCCGCAGGATAAAAAAGAAGAAATCATCGAAGGATGATAAGTCAAAAGACGAAAAAAAGAGCAAAGAGTCCAGCAGAAAGTCACTTGGCAGCTATCTCGGGACATCGGAATCTACTCGCAATCTTGGCGGAAGCGCCTCGGTTGCTGGGGATAAAATTGCTATTGGAAAAGAATCATCCTTGACTGGGAAAAACTATATTAGAGACGATGGCCAACGGAAGACAAACACACGAAAGAAAGAAGCTCATGATGAAGCCGCTGCCGATGACAACATCATCAGTGTTGAATACATCACTAGAGCAGATGGAACGAGGGTGAAACGAATCAATAAGAGAAAAATTGTCAAAAAGGTAAAGAAGGTCAAGAAAGCCAAGAAGGACAGCGATGGTGACTCCACGAAATCGGACAATAAGAAGAAAGAGGGTAAAGCCAAAAAGAAGTCTTCAAAAGAAGACAAACCCAATAAGGAGAAGGAGAAGAACGCTGCTTTGAGTAACTTCTTCAGCAAAGAGGACAAGGCTAATCCGAAGTCCATCGGAGGAAGTAGAACAGTAGCAGGAGATCAACTCAATGTTGAGAAAAAACAATCTTTAACTGGAAACAACTTTGTTCGCAGTGATGGGAAAAGAAAGGCCACAACAACAAAGCCGAAATCCAAAATAGAACCCGGTGATAGAGTAGAAATCATTACTCTTCCCGATGGGAGAAAAGTGCGAAGAATCTACAAGACCAAAAAAAAGCCAGCTACAAACTTGACGGCCAAGAAGAAAGACACTACAACACTAGGCGCTTCCGTCCCATCTCGGTCAAATAATAGTCGAAATGGAAGCAAAACTTTGGAGGATTTTATGGATGACAGTGTCAATCATGGTCCCAAGAAACTCGGAGGTAATTCCAGTGTGGGCGGTGACATTGTTCAACAAAACGAGAAGCCTTCTCCTCCTGAAAAGAAACCATTGCCGAAAGCGTTGCAAAGAGAAATCATACAACGACCATCGAAGCGATCGCTTCCTCTTCACCCATTGGAGCAGTCGCTACAACGAGAAACTGCGCAGCATGCACCGCTGAAGCCCACCAAAATTGCACTGGACTCTCGTCCATCTCGAACCCAGGTCACTGCGCCGGTTGTCTCTTCAGATCACGTTTCCAAAACCCTTGCTCGTATGTCCTCCATGGGACCTACTTTTGACGGCAGTGAAATGAACGAAATGCTCAAAAAGCTCGCGGAAGCTGAAAAGATGGACGAGCTGCTCAAAAAGCTGGAAGAAGCCGAAAGGAGGCGGAAAGAGGCTGAGCAGCGTGAACTAAAGCTTCAGGCAGAACTCGCCGAGGCAAAAGCAACTCTTTCCAACATGGGAGGTGACATTGATTTGGCTGAGAAGCTCAGAGACCTTGAAAATCAGAAGAAGAAGTTGGAAAAACAGCTTCTTGACAATAATATCGATCCAGCAGAGAATATTGAATATGAGGAATGTGTGAGACAAATTCGAGCACTTGGATTGCGACTCGAAGAGATTGGTGATGCAGACGTCGAACACGAGGACAAGGAAATTGAACGCAAGCTTCGCGAAGAGTATTACACGCTGTCGATTGAGATGGAGCGATACAATAGGGCCTTGATCAATTCAGACGAGTTTCAAGCTGAACAAATACGAAAAGAGAACGAGTGGAACGAAACTAACGAGCCGCTCAATCTGGAGGCTTTGAAGAAGATTCGCCGCCACATGCCCATCGAAGTTCGGAATATGAGTGAATTGGAGCTGAAATCCCATGTATCACCTACCAACAAGAAATTCCCACCTGCAATAGCGAGGAGATTTAAGCGTACAAATGTGCTGCAACTCATTCGGCGTGATCCTCAAGATGTTCAGCAAATGCATCCTGGGGGTCTGGAAAGCTTTAGAGTCAATGGTCTAACTTTGACAGAGCGAAGAGCAATATACGAGCATCTACGACCAATCGCTGGTACTTGGGAATCTGGGAAAACAGAGAAGATGACATTCCGCAAGTGGGAATGGTTCAAAACAATGAAGGAAAACTTTAAGGAAGAATTGGACAAGTATAACTGGCACATGGAGGAGTTTGGCCCTTCCGAAAACCACAAGTGCAACATGATTGGAAGGTCGTGTCCGATGAGAGCCGACAAAATTGTTGACTATGGCAATGACTACGGATGGACGGATGAAGCTGTCTACGAAAAATCGGACGTGAAGAAATCCTCCGTCGACGATGTGGGCATGGCTAAAGCAGAAGCTCTGGAAATGTTGAGAGAAAAGAGGGCAAACGAACGCAACGAAGCTTTGAAGATTCATTACAAAAGTAAAAATGTTCCAGGTAATATACTTCTTCAAGTATCAAAGGCGAAGGGATCTTGTGAAAATATGGACAGTATGATGGACAAGATGGAATTTGCAATGGAGCAATGGACGAAAAAGGCTTTGGAAACCGGTGACGATGAATCCAAGCTCACTGAGGACGTGAAGAAGAAGGAAATTGCCGTGTATCGTAACAATCTCAAGAGTCACAAAATCTTGATTCAGAACATGTGTAGTCGTGCTGGAATAAGTATTTCGGGCGTTGAGAAAGGTGACGAAAAGCCTGATCCTCGAAGTGCCATCGAATGCAATCTGGCGGAAGAGGTACAAGAGACCTTTGTTGTCTATACCACGTGGATTGCGGGCCGCTTGTTGACGATTGAGATGGGAAACGCTGAGATCAAGAATAACTCGACCATGCTCAATGATCTTCTCAGCAAATTGCACGAGAAGAACATCGGCACACTGAAGGAACTCGGTGTGGAAAGAGGAAAACGGTCTCGCCCACTCAAGACCGCCGCCGAGATCGAAGACGAGGTCAAGAAACAACAAGGCGAGGAATCAACCGACGCTGCTGGGTCGCAAAAAAAGCCTGCAGAGAACCGCCCAAAACCAGGAGGCTTGTTGGATGCAATAAATACAAAGGGAAAAAAAGAAGGGAGACGTGGTGGCTTGATGGACGCAATTGCAGGAAATGGAAATGGAGGAGGCGGAAGGGGTGGACTAATGGCTGCCATCGGAAATGCCGGAAACGATGGGGGTGGAAGAGGTGGACTCCTATCAGCGATTGCAAACGCTGGAAAGTAAGCGATAAATGATAATTGTTTATTTTGAGTGTCATATCGCTATTGCAACATGTACTGTCACAGGACTATTTGTGCCATAACAACTATTTCAATTGATTGTTAATGAAGGCGACTTTGGATGCTGCCTTTCTGCCCTCTAAGCGTTCAGTTTTGGTGACACAATATGGCGTCCGCTTTTCGGCTTTTTCCAGTGCAATCTGGATGGGATCAATATCCGTGCGTTCCTCGATCCTTTCTTTGTGACCGCCTTCTCCTTTTCGTGACAGACCAGCCAAGTCCGCCAATGGAATCAAAAAATCGTTCTCGTAGACATAATCTTCTTCCTCGACGAAAGGTTTCCTGGATTTTTTAGATTGCTTCAGGGGCCTATCGGCAGGGGAAGGGCGGCGTCTACTATTTCTTTTTCCTGATTGATCATTATCGTGGTCGTCGTTGGCTTCATCGATTTTACATTGTCGTGCATTGTGCTTCGTCGCGCTCTGGCCACTTGTTGGCGTGTGTCGTTTGGTTCGGTTCTTTATTGTGGGGCTCGTTTTCCTCCTTGGTGCCTTGGTTGGCTCGTCGTCCTGCTCTTCAAATTCTGAGTCGTCAGAAGGCTCTGCGTAGTTTATCTCCCCAAGGGATTGTCTGCGACTGGAAGCTTTTGGCTTTCGCCCCCTTCTCTTTTGCATTGGGTTGTTAGCCATTTTATTCACATTTTCTTTCGGTAGTACAGAAGCGTTCTCCTCTTCCTCGCTTTGACCCACTCTTTCCTTCTGGGTAGTAAGAACTGTGGCTGTGGGTTGAGAGGCCGCATAATTTCCATTAGCAATGAGTGTGACATCAGCGACTGGCTTCTCTTCATTTTCCCCAATCGCCGCTGCAACGCCCTCAAATTCATCTTGTTGGAGAATCTTGCCGCCAACTTGAATGACAACGAAAAGCTCCATAAGCCTAGGTGGGCGCCCACGTCGACCACGTCGCAGTGGGCCATCCGGACCAAGCTCGTCAAATTGGATAGTCGCTTGAGCTTTCCTAGCCTTGTCAACAAACTTTCTTGGTTTCTTCGACGATGATGTCACGTCCATTGCGGCATCAGGAGCGCGTCTCTTCTTCATCGCAGATGGAATCAACGCCGCCAAGCCAGCAGACTTGTCGAAAGGAGAGACCGATTGTGACGCAGACTCAGTAGATCTACTCGGCCTTCCTGGTCCTCGTTTCTGCGTCGCTGGAGTCGTGACAGCAACAGCTTTCGGAGAGACTGAAGATTCCTGTTTCGGTCGAGGAGCCTGTGGTGCAGCTTTTTGAGTGACTACTTTCCCATCGATGATCTCTGGCTTCAAGAAATCGTCCGGTTCAGCTACGGCATCTTCGAACACCTTCCCATCTTCCAAAGTTGCTTTTCCTGGCAAAGGTCGGCTTCCAAGCTCAAATTTGGGGGACTTGTCATCGGTATGGTAACAAAAACCTGCATTTCCGATTGGTATCTTGTCATCTCCAAGCCCCAGCAGTCGGGACTTTGATCGGTAGGCACGAGCTAACCAGTCAGCAATAAAGTCGATTTCGAAATCTTTCCAGGGACCCACTAGACTCTTGGTATGCAGCACAGCGTGTAACGCACGTTTCAATGATTCGTTATCAAAGCTGTCCCCATCATCGTAATTTCGATTCCGCAATGCGGCACCAAGCGCTGTAAGACGACACCTTCTTGCATCTTTGCATCGACTTTGAGGTGTGCTCTCAACGATCTTGAGTTGCGCTTTTGTCATTTTCGCTTCCACCTGACCTGGTTCTAGCAGTGGTTCCCATGTCGAATTATGTTCTACCCATAACTCTGCCCACCTCCAAGCCCAGCTCAATATTCTATTGACAAGCATTGCGCAATTTAATAGTCGCGAAGCATCGCTGAAGGACATTGGAGAATCTGCCTTTCCAAATTTCTTCCCCGCTCGCCTTCGCTCAACCTCTATCAAATCCTCGAGTCTTGCACGGAGATTGTACTCGTTTCCCCCATGTTCATAGCATCGGACTGCACACATCGTTAGACAATCGCATTACAAAAAACACAATGGCGATCATTCAGGCAAGGTCGTACTTACCATAGAATTCTTCTTGATCATTCGAGTCATCGTCATGATTCACTTCGTATCCTGCTTGTCTTGCACAGGATACGTGGAAATGATAAGCCTGTCTTTTCTCACCGCGGGCCCTGCAGTCTACATGCGAGCATCTTCTCTTCATACCACGAGACTTCCCGCAGAGGTAACATGGTATCTTTCCCTGAATGTAACCTTGGCCATTTGACATCACAACGTTCGAAAAGTCAGCACTGCAATCCTTGGGAATCACGTTGACGCCTTTTGACCAACTGAAATTTGAAGAGATCGAGGTGAGCTACTGCAAGAAGAAAGGAACACCGAGCCAACAATTGAACTTACAAGGCACAAGAGTAGTGCGTCCACAATTTTTTCCCGAAAATAGACTTCTTGAAGAGCTTTGGGTTGTTTTTCCACTGTGAAATTCGGCTGACTGGTTTTGCTGTACCGTGGAGAAGAAGACCACCTCTTTGATAACACAAGTCGCAATGTGGCTCCTCAAAATCTTTCTCCTCCTTTATGCACTTGTCCTTGTAAGCACAACTGTGGCACTTCAAGTATTTTTGATCTGATGTGACCTTCCCAAATGAGAATCGGCAAGTGATGCAAACCGTAACCCCGCAAGTTCCGCATCGTTGCAGTAGGGACCCGTCGTGTTCAACATCGCAGCATTCACACCTTACACCGACAAATCTCTTGGTCAATATTTCGTCCAAGAATGCACGCTCATACTCTGGGTTGGCCAATGCCGATGAACGCTCCTTCCCATTCATCTTGTTGAAAATTCTGTTCTTCGGAGGTGGCGCTACTGGCATTGGTTCCTCTGGGAATTCTTTTGCCATACTAATCAATTCATCTACTGGAATACGTTTGTATGTTGATTCCTCCGGATCTACATTCGAATGTTGTCGGCAAAATAGAGTCCATGGTTTCTCGGTGGGATTGCCTTCAACATCCTCTCCATAGTTCACTTCACACAATCCGCAAATATGGGCGCAGGTCATGTGCATCCATTTCCCGCACCCAGGATGACTGCACTTATGGTAAGCACCACGCTTGCCTTTGCAAATATCACAAGCGTAGTCCAACCTGCGGAACTCCCGTTTCAGAGTGGTGACATCTTCCACGCATTCAGGATTTAATTGCCCCGATCCCGAGAAGTTAAGGCCTTGCCATTTCGCGCAGCCCATATGAACCCATTTTGTGACTGCATTTGGTGGAGCATCTTTTGGCAACTCACATCGGACATACGCACCGTATTGCACAGGGCACAATTCACATCGAATAGGCAGTATCGGCATAGGTTCTCGAGCTGTTGTGGATGACCGACGTGCTCTGCTATTCGCATCTTCTTTCATCTTGTCGCGCTTGAAATGTCTACAGGCCACGCAATAATAATCTCCTTCCGGGACCTTTTCGACTCCATAACACATTTGATGAATTGGAATATCACAGGCCTCGCAAAACAAAATTTGGTTGTCGGGAGTGACGTCTCCATCACCACAAATGCTGCAGACAGCATTCATGTCATGTTCCAGTTGTTCTTGCATCTTTCGGTCAATCTCTTTTCGTCGTGCCAAAGCCTCCCGATGTTCCTCGAGCAGCCGAACACTGTCAGCTCGCTTTTGTCGGGATTCCGGTTTCTCGTACTCTATTCTTTCGTCAATGATTTTGCACATGAGCGATCGAATGTTCGGCTCCAATGCCTTTTCAGTTTGAATCAATTCATTTTGCTTTCGTTTCAGATCGAGAAGTATTTCGCTCTCCTCAACCTTTTCTTCCGTTTGCGGTGATCTCGGAATGGGAAACGATTTGAGAATCTCAAGACTCGAGTCAGTCCCGGTTGATATGGGAAGCTCCAATTGATCGCCTTGGATTTTGTCTTGAAGAGAATAGATTTTGACTTGTGGAGTAGGCTCATTGTCGGCACTATTAAGTGCGCGAATTCCAATTGTTGCTGTTCTCATATCCCCAGTGGCACCAGTAAATATATTGGTAGGGCCTTTGGCAGTATTTCGGTTGATTCGTTGTCCGATAACCGCAGTGGATGACTCGAAACATGTTTGTGCTTCTTCCATATTCGGCAATCGAACCAGCAAGCGATCATGGATATCAACATCACCTTTTGTAATTGAAATTTGTTTCTGCTCAGTCTCGATTAATTTCAAAAAAGCGTATCGACTGCTGCATTTTTTGAGATCACACACCATCGTATCCGCGTCCGTGTTACCTTTTGACGGAACTTTCGACAATCGAAAGCATTCTTGAATAAAACCCAAAGTATTTTTGGGAGGATAGCAGAGGCCATAAAATACGCTGCAGGTTCTAGTGTGCTCCAATATCATGGCAATCATGGTGGTCATGATGACATTGCTGAGTGGAGCTGGATTTGGGAGGTCCTCAATAACTTCTTTTTGCGCAGAATCGGATTTTCCATTTGAAGATTTTGCGGAGGCCTCCACCGATGCAGGGGGTGGCTGTGCTGTCACCGAAACAATACCTTCCGGTGGTGGCATTGATGCTCGAGGTGATTGGGTGACCTCTTTTCCATTAGAAGCGGCATCCAACTTCTCATTGTCTGTGTTCGGAGTTTCGTTTGATGGCTCCGGAGCAGTCGCAAAATCAGATGCCAATATCTTGCCATCGACCACAACATCCGTCGTAGATGATGCAACATGCACTTTTGGCTTTCTTCGTGGTCGACCAATCCCCGTAATGATCATGATTAGTTCCGACTCTTTTTTGTCACGCGAAAGACTGTACCACATGAACTGATACATCAAAATCGCTTCTGGCTTCCCCTCCAGCCATGCGACGACACCAAAGGTTTGTGGTGGCAAACTACTAGGTACCGGCTCCTCCTCGATAGTCCATTCGTATTCCTCCAATATCGCCTTACCTTCAGCTTTTGATGCTGGATACCCCGAAAATGTCCAGTTTTTGTCAAAATTCGGAATCATAGCCTTCCCCATGGCCACAACTTGTTTCTGTTTGGACACATTTTGTTTCCGCCTGGAATCGAATTTAGAAAATATTGAATAATTGCAGGGCACCAACTCTTTCGTACTAAACCCCTCACGAATTAGAGTAGCATATACCGGATCCACAAAATCCAATGTCAATTGATCGTCCAAATCGCACCCCACCGAATTGACCTTTTTGTATTCCAATCGACCATTCTCCTCGGGAATTTCTAGAAACGGATCGTCGTCTTTTTTGGTAGTAGTAACAAACGGAAGTGTAGCAACGTCTGGAAAGGCTGTCGGCATTTTCTGGTCCACCACCACGGGGACATCAAATCCCAATATCCGTGCATAATACGAGAGTGGATAAGTATCCGGTGGGTGAAAGACAACCTCCATTGCTCGATACAATTCGGAACCATATATTTCTTCCACCGAACTCTTGTGTGGTAGCGTTGACAAGAGTGGATTGGTAATGCGGTTGGGCGCTTCATCACTGGTAATTTTCAGCGTCGTTTTTGGCATGGCCGATTTTTTCAACCTTCCATAAGACTTGGCTTTGTTGTACTTGGCATTGGATTTGCGCCGTTTCTTTTTCGAGGGTACCTTTCGTTGTTTGCCACTGCCGGGTGGTGGCTTTTTTCGGTTGGTGGGCATTTTCCCTCCTCCTCGATGATTTCTGGTGTTGGCGGTATAATCTAAATTGGCATTGTAATTGACAATTCCGGTTCCTAGCTCCATGGGCGGCGGCAGCGAACCAAAGGGCGCATTTGCCACGGCTGTTTGACGTGCCACTCGTGGTTTCCAATAGCGCTTGCGATTGTTGACAAACCAATTATTCAACTGTTTCGTTTCAATACCAGTATCCGCAATGATTTTGGTCTTTTCGTCTTCGTTCGGGTAAGGATGCCCAATGTGCTTGGGAGACATCATCCAAGCCTTGAGATATTCGACTGTTTCCTGTGGCAAATTAGATCCACCTGGTGATTTTGGTTGCGGAGGCAATGAGGGTACGCCCCGCTGCACAGGCTCTCGGCTGTTCCTCCTGGATACGACCAATGGACTCGCCAACATTAATGGATTAATTGGCTCAGAATTATCAGCAGTCGGTACTGTAGGCATTGCCGGTGGCGTAGGAATGGCTCCGTTTGGTTGTACCGCTATTGAATCATCTTGATAGGTCGGTGGTTGCTTTTGAATACTATTGTTGTTGTTGTTGTTGTTGTCGTTATTGCTGTTATTATAGTTTGTATTCTTGTTTGTAATGTTTGTAGTATTGAATGATGGCAACAAGCTTTTAGGCCCGTCATCATTTCCAGCTTGACTCTTCATTGCAAGTAAAATAAGCAAAATAATGAATGAACACAATGCTTCGGCAAATGATGGTGATTCTTGGGACAATCGCCACAATGCCCGTATTGCTTCTACTTGGACCATACACAAACATGCCACGCTGCGGACGATAGACGGCGGCCCAAAATTGAGAAAAGGACTAAGTAAGCCCAACCAAACCTGCATCACTTATTCCATCTATCAACATCTTACACAAAAAAATATGTTATTCACCGAACGCGGAAATATCCAAGGCTTTCAAACTCTCATCCCAAAGCCTCGAGCTCTCACTCTCCGAAAAGGGATAAAAGTGAGAGCTGAAGGAAGTCATCAGCGAGTTTAGTATGATTGGCCTGCCAAAGGTCCAATATTGTGGAACCACATACGAGCCACTTGGGACCTCCGGAGAGAGGGCCGCAAACAACTGCGTTTTGGCGCCATCTTTGGTGGACATGCTGCCCCATTCGTTTTGCCGTAACCAGCGCATGGCAAATTCGGGACAGAGCGGCAGTTGAAATTTGAGCATAATTTCGGATCTTGTATAACCCGGATGTGAAGCAACGAAGGCAACATTATTCTTCTTGGTAGCAAGCCGTCGATGAAGCTCCCAGGTTTGCTGCAAATTGGCTCGCTTGGATTGAAAGTAGTATCTCATGGAATCAATAGTGTTGTGCAATTTTCCTTTCACGGGAGTCGATTTTTTTCCTTGGTTGTACCAACCATCAGTCGTGTCATGTCTAGACACTAGAGCTCCCAAGGAGGATACGTGCACAATGCGAGCACCGTGGGTACTTGCCAATAGATTTTTCCATAAGTAATGGGTCAACAGAACATGGCCCAAATGATTGATGGCCATGTGCATTTCAATTCCATCGACAAATTCTTTGGAACTCCAAGCATAGGCAACCCCAGCATTGTTGATGAGAATGTCTAGTGGACCAATTGTTGTTGTTGTTGTTGTTGTTGTTTTTGCCGTTTCGTCCGAGGCAAGTAGTATTTCTTCTTGAATAGAGGCGGCTCCTATTGCAATCGAAGTTCGATTCGCTAGATCCAGCAAAACCGAAAGAACTTGGGTGCTGGAAGATTCTGGTAAGTCTTGTTCCACATCTATCTTGGCATCTTGACATCTAGTCGTATTCCGACACGCTAGTATGATTTTGTTGGCCGTTCCGATACGGGCTAGATGTTGGACCGTTGCCAATCCAAGCCCCGAGTTGGCGCCCGTGACCAGAACCGTTCGATCGCGCAACAAATCCTGCAATTTCTCGTCTGGTATCTGAATCGCCCCCGGAAACAACAAGATAGACCGCAAAAGTAATGCAACAACCGACACCACAAATATAAAAGCATACAAGATCCAAGATCTCGGTCCAACTCGTCGCCGTTGTCGATATTTCCGTAGCCATTTGTGTTCCAACGTGCTGCGGGCCGATGGTCGTAATATTGGATCTCGTTCTAGCAACATTTGACAAAAATCCTTGGCATCGGGGCTAAACTTTCTCCATATTCGTTTCGGATAAACCACTTGACTCGTAGGATCTTTCAATAGTTGTAACGTCTCCAGCTCGTCCGAGCCACAAAATGGAAGTCTTCCCCGGGACAATACCAAATAGCAAATCACCCCTACACTCCAGACATCGCACTTCACATTGTATTGATCACCTGACAAAACTTCCGGCGCGACATAGTAAGGGGTCCCAACTTGTGATTGCAATATCAGATCCAACAACTCTTGTCGTTCGTTCCTCTCTCTTTCGCTATCTTCGCCGTTTGCTGAGATTGACTGAGAATATGTCGCTTGCCGGGTGCGAGTCGCAACTTTGGAGAGCCCAAAGTCAATGATCCGCACGTCAGTATCCGTCTTGTTATTGGCAAAGCAAAAATTGCTGGCCTTCAAATCCCTATGCACGACACCTCTTTCGTGACAGTGGGCAATCGCCTCGAGAATATTCCCAATCAGTGTTGCCACCTGCTTTTCGTTGAGGGCCCATTTCCCAGTGGCCACGCGATCGTACAATTCCCCACCGATGCACAATTCTGTAACAATATGTATATTCTCTTGATCCTCGAATATTTCATCCTTTAATTCAATCAAATGTGGGTGGGATTGCACCGTTCTCAAGGCAGCAACTTCGCGTTGGATGATGTGGGTTGGAATGAGCCCATTCTTGGGTATCGTTTTGCAAGCAAGTTCTTCATTGGAGTGCTTGTTCCTTACTTTGTGAACATTTCCAAAGCTACCTTGGCCAATGTCAGAGAGAAATTCATAGCTGTTAAAGAAGAAGAAAAAGAAGCCACACAGTGAGCACCAAACTACATTCTTGATGTACATGCTTGATGTACATGGATGAAGAAAACAATACAAAACTCACTGGTCTCTAATATTTTCAGATCTGGAATTGGAAATAATCATGGATAATTCTTCTTCCGATTTATTGTCGTCCTTTTCTGCCAACTGGTCTTCCTCCAGCGACTGATCTTCCTCCATCTCCTCCTCAAGACGATGATGTTGTTGTTTGTGCTTTCGAACAAAGCTTTCCCCCAAACTGGGATCTAGGGGCGTTTTGAAGCCACCCCCTATTTGGAAAATGGAACTTCTCAAGTATAGTCGATAGAGTCAATACCCGGGATTGGTTTCGGACATTTGGATCTTGGGTGTCAATAGTGAGCGATTTCGATTGCCGAAGCCGATACACACACAACTCTTGCAGCAGAGCGCATCCTCCAAAGATGAAGCTCTTATCCACCTCTCTCTTCTTTGCCTATGTTGCACCGTCTGTTTATTCTCAGACCAACTCTACTAATCAAACGCTTACCAACACCACCAACACCACGGAACCTGAAGTGTGTCCATGCAGGTTCGAGGGCAACGATGATGACGACTGCATTGTCTACGGATCGCTCGATGGAGACCTAAAGGCTTGGCCCAAGGCCGATCAGGCATGTTTAGACGCTTATCAAATCAAGGTCGACGCTCCTGATCCATCCAGTACCTGCTTGAATGCCAATTCTTTTGTCTTGGCACTCCGATTGGGAGATCTGTCCTCTTCCCAGGCCAAATTCGGGTTGGGGACTCCTTATGGAGGTTTCTTTGAAGAATCCCCCATGAATGCGATGCTACCAGTCCTCAAGGAGAGCATCACCATTGCTGGAACTACCTACGATTGCGAGGCATCCTCGAGCAACTGTTACAATGCCATGAAGCCTTACTTTGAATCCAACGCGATGGGAATGCAGGAAATGGAGGATGTTTGCGACACATTGCAGGGCACTGTGTTTGTGGCCCGAGAAACAGAGCAATCCGTCTTGAGAACCCGCCTCTGTACCGAGTACCGAGAACCCGCCACCATCGTTTCGGCATGCTCCGATATCTTTGACGCCCTGGAACCCGAGTTAGTTAAATTTAGCACCAAGACTTGTGGTGGATTTGGTACTGGTCCTGGCAGTCGCACATTGCCTGGATGTTCCGCATCTACGGATGCTGCCACAAGCCTTGGAAGTGGCTACAACCTATTCTTGGTATTGGCGAGCAGTATTGTTGGACTACTTGTACTCGTATAGATAAAATGAATCTAGATTGTTCTGTGTTAAATTATTAAAGCGCGACACGTCTATCCCCTTATCACATGTAGTAGCAGTATAACACACATAGTTTATGTTTTTATTTTCACGGTTCTATCATTTTCTCTATTGTTTTAAAATTGAATTCATAGGATTGTTGTATAGCATGTTTTTTCTTCATGGTGCAAAAAGTCAGAATCACCTTTCGAGTGCCTTGTCGTCGTCCTCCTCAGCCCTTTGCCTCATAAGAGCTTGAAAATGTTTCGGTTTCAAGCTATTCGCCATACAGGCGGCAAGCATCAAGCCTCCGCCAACGTAATCGTTCATTCCAAAGGACTCTCCGAGTAGAATGGAAGCAAAGCCAGCGGCCCAAAGTGGTTCAGTACTCAAAATGACAGTGGCTTCAGCAGGAGGCACGTTTTGGAGTGAAAAGTTCTCCAAGAAAAAGCTCAAACTGGTCGACATGATACCGGTCCAGACCACAGCGCCGGCAACCTCGTGCATGGCTGGATCCATGAAAAGTCCCGGCAGTGTCATGGATTCCCATCCAGGTGTCCCCATCCAACCATCTGTCAATGCCCAAATCATGGACACCAATGCAGTCGTGGCCACCATAACGGAGGTGACCGGCAAAGCTTGGTCAGGATGCTTGTGCACCATCTTTTCGGCAATAAAGATTCCAGTCGAAAAGCAAATGGCCTGCAACAAAGCCAAGGCGTCTCCCATGCCGATGCCTCCGCTGCCTTCGACTGCTCCACCACAGAGTTCCAAAACCCCCACTCCCATGATGCACAGAATGCCGGCCAACCAAGTTTGCGGGCGATCCTTAACAGACATGGGTTTCTTGTCCACAAAGGCTTCCAACAAAGGACACCAAATGACCGACGCGGCTCCCAAGAAACTAACCGTTGCGGCAGGAGTATCGACGAGCGCCAGTGATTGTGCGACATAGCCAGTGGCCGTAAAGCATCCCGCCAAGACGGACATGCCAATGTATTCCTTTTTTATTTGTGCCAAAAAGGGGCTCAATGCCAATCCAGCCAGCAAGAATCGACCAGAGGAAGCCGCCGAAGCTGGCAAGGCATGGTCCATGATACTGCCCAAGGGAAAATTCGTTCCATAAAAGCAAGCGACGGAAGCCAGCAAGATGCGAGGACCCAAGTAAGAGTTCATGACCTTGTCCACTAATGAAAGAGACGAGTCATTTGTGGTAATGACACCAGGTTGTTCTTCATGTTGTGATTGTGGTTGCTGAGTAGGATTGGTCCCTGAGTCCACATTCGGGATATAGTTTTGAATGTTTCGTGGGAAAATGGGGGGTGACGCAATGTCGGACGATATCGAAGAAGCAGTCTTGGGTGATGCTGTGAACTTTTGTTTCTGTGGTTGTTGGAAGGCTTTGGCTGGAGAAATGGTAGCGATAGCGAGACAGGTTGCCATCAACGTGGCTTTCCGTATGTATGAAGGAATTGCCTTTCTTGTAGCGTTATTAGTGTTGTTCATAGTCATCGTTGGTATTTACTTTTGTGTGTGTACGTTTTGTGATGTTGTATCGTATTTCGTATTGGTCTGATC